GTTGGTACTTTGTTGATAGGTCTAATCTTTTCAGTGTGTTAGTTCTCAGCACGAGCTGCCGTGCTATGTTTCAACTCCTTGACAGCTTATATACTGTGAACGAAAATAACAACATTGTTTATATAAGCTATCTAAAATTAATTCATTTTCCGGCCTGGGTAGACTTTAAATTTTTCCAACTCAATGCTTGTGACTCTTTGAATTTTTAGCGTTTGTGTACTTACCTTGAATCCGAAGGTATCACACAAACGAAGGCGACTTCACTGAAACCTAACCTAACTTCTTTGACATTGCAATCCGTAGGATGCTAAGCTTACAGAATAAAAGATTTAAAGGTGAATCCTGATAGTCGGCTATTATGCAAGTATATGTATAGCGATATGAGAGAAAAGAGTTTTCATTTGCGGCAACCCAATAAGATGCCAAGAGTTTAGAAAGATCAGCTGCCTATCTATGCGGAATATGACTGGAAGTCGAATCGCATTTATCCTTAACTCAAGTGTAACTGGCTATGTGTAGTTTGCTACAAAGTGTTTTTTATTTATGAGAATAAGTGTTGGTTACGAAGAGAGTTTTTCTTTTAAGAAAATAAGCGCTGAATAAATTATAAAGAAACTTCTGGATATCCATTACTATTTCAAAAACGGCATTGAAGCTTCTATAGTTCACAATAACATTTTAATAATAACAATCGATAATCTGAATCTGAAATTTTAACTAAGTATCAATTATTAACTTCACAGCGGCAATGAAGCTTCTAGAGTTGACAAGAAAATTTAAATCACAACAACTGATTAACAAGATTTGAATTTTAACGGAAGTCATAATTCACCATTTTTTTGTTTTTATTTTTCTTTCCTTGAATAAGTTGATATATTTGAGTGTTTATTCAGACAGAAATAACTGACAAAATTAACACTTCGTACGGACAAATATGTCTAACATATAATGAACGATTACAATATTAATTATTCTAGAAATAAAGAGAGATGGTAAGTTTTTGAGCTCGGTAAAGATATAGAGAAAGATGTTTTTTCGTCATATCACGAGCGTGGGACAAAGAAAAAAAAGAAAAAATTCTGAGTTCCCATAAGGAGTCAAACCTCAGACCTTCGGATTAGGCGCTCCGATGCTCGAAAATTTATCATCTCTCTTATTTATATCAACAAACATTACGCTTTTAGACATTGCTGACCTCAGCAGTATTCAGGACGCGTGTCATATGAATGTCGTAATAGACTTCGCTCACTGTGGAGTCTCTGTTGCTCAGTGGTTAGAGCATCGGAGCGCGGGATCCAAAGGTCTCAGGTTCGATTCCTCATTGGTACTCGGAATTTTTTCTTTGTCCCACGCTCGTGACAAGAAGAAAAAACATCTTTCTCTATTAATTATTCTGTTATTCAGCTCTCAGAGCATCCTTTCCACTTGACTATAATTGGAAAAAAATTTTTATAAACGTCTCTGAACTCTTTTTATATTAATTGAGATATTTTCGAATCTTTTACAAAACTGCGTGTACGAACCGAAGGCAAAGTCTCGACCGAAATAATAATAATAATAATAATAATTTATTACTTATATAGCGCAAAATACATGTGGATATGATCTAAAGCGCTGTTTATCTAATGCGCTAAGAAAAAAAAAACAAATGAATTTTTTCTGTGACTAAAGGCTTCACGCTCAAAATATTTCATCTGGCAAGCCTGATATCCTGTGGTTTGCCAGAGAGACCCTCGATGCGTTTCAGTTTCTTACTCTTATTTATGAGAATATGTGTTGGTTACGAAGAGAGTTTTTTTTTAAGACAATAAGTGACGATTAAATTATAAAGAAGCTGCCGGATACCAATTACCATTTCAACAACGGCATTGATGCTTCTATAGTTCACAACAACATTTGAATGATAGCAATTGATAAAGTGGATCTGATATTTTAACTAAGTATCAATTATTAACTTCACAAAGACAATGAGGCTTCTTGAGTTGACCAGAAAATTTAAATGACAACAACTGATAAACTAGATTTGTATTTTAAGGGAAGGCGAAATTCACAATTTTTTTTTGTTTTGTTTTGTTGTTTTTTTTTCATTCCTTGAATAAGATGATATATTTCAGTGTTTATTCAGACAGAAATGGCTGACGTTATTAACACTTCGCACGGACAAATACGTCTCTTTAACATATAATGAACGATTACAAAATTAATCATTCTTTTATTCAGCTCTCAGAGCAACCTCTCCACTTGACTACGATTGGAAAGAAAAATATTAAATAAACGTCTCTGAACTCCTTTTAAATTAATTGAAATATTTTCGAAGCTTTTACAAAGCTGTGTGTACACACCGAAGGCAAAGTCTCGACTGGGAAAAAAAACGAAATGAATTTTTTTCTGTGTGGTGTTCTAGTTGGGTCATTAATATCTGAAATCGAAGTATCTCAGGCAGTTCTTTGTAAGGAAGCGTCTCTTTCTTATCCTGTGATAACTCGCAATCATCGCCGACTTAAAGGCTTCACGTTCAAAATATTTCACCTTGCAAGCCTGATATCCTGTGGTTTGCTATGTCAGAGAGACCCTCGATGCGTTTCAACAAATTTCAGAAAAGTTTTCAAAACGACAAAGGAGTTCTCCTTACTGAGAAAGGAAACGAATTGAAATACGACGAAGAAGCAATTTACACCCAATTTTACGACACGAAGGTAACAAAAAAAATTCTCGAAAAAAGACCAAGAAGAAGGTGTTATTGATTCCTCGAGACACTTGTCTTTCATTCGTGGTATCTTTCTCATAAAATCTTCATATTTCGACGACAGATGTGAAAACTTTCCATCTGTCATATTTTTCTTTGAATGTTTCTATCGTTTGGTTTTAAAATAGTTTGACGTGTATGCGGGTAAAATGGTGGTTTTTTATCTTTTTTTTTTAAAGGCGAATGGACCACATTTCACTGAATGCTGATAATCAAAATGTTGTACTGTCGTTTAAAGTAAAATGAGAAATTTTTCCTAAGTAGGAATTTAAATCTCGATATCATTGGAGTCAATATATGCAAACTGCTCCGAAGCTCAATAAGGTTAAATATAGTTTAAGTTGAAAGTTCTTAAATAAATTCAGGTGGACCGAAAGTAGGTCATACGGATTTAGTACACAGAATTCAGTATAAAATTTTAGCTTGAAGCTAAAACTTTCAAGATATATCTAAAGGCCTTCAATTAGCTCACTTGTGCAGTCTCCATACGGTGATAAACCCAGATGACTAATTGATTTCCCGATGAAATAAGAAATAAATGATTTTTTGTTTTCAGCACCACGGTCAGGCCTTCAAGGAAGATTTAAAAGTCGTCAACTGCAAATGTAAGTAGCATTGGTTTGAAAGGTATTCTTGAGATTAAAGTCAACGACTTCGTGTTTAAATAACAATGAGTTACTTGTCCCGGCTGCTTCTTGTCTCTCCGCCAATAGGTGCGGAGTCTGTCGTCTCGCGAACCTTCGCGGACCCTTACAAACATTCCCCGAACCTGCTTGAAACATTTCGATTCTTACAGTTTCCTTGAAAGTCCTAGAATGTTGTCAAAAAAATTGCTACGGAAAATTTTGCCTAGGTTACTTCTAAATTAAAGTGGAAATCAAGCCTTTAATTCCCATGAGTGACCAAGACAGAATTTCTCCTTACAATAACCATACAATATCAATCAGACAGGTGATGAGAATAATGAAAAGATAAGTTTGAGGATTTTATAATTGGTCCAGTACCAAATTCTCATAACTAGCATCATAAGAATTGTATAGCCTACAGTAAGGAGAATTAATAATGAGATCTTGGGCACTGAAGGGTTAAGGAAACAAGAACCTGCTGAAGAAGCCGAGGACACTCACTGCGTCATTCACAACTTCAAATGCTAATGTGCCTACAAAATGCATCGCGAAAACATGATAGCGTTGAGTCATCAATATGGGAAGCAATTTAAACATATCCAGAAATTAGATAAGATAGACTCCAGTGATTCAAAAACCGCTGGATACTCCAAGGGTGCCGAAAAAAATAAAATAAAGTAAATTTTAACCGTTTTGGGTACGAATTTTCATTTGTAATAGAGCTTCGACTATCACTTGTAAGTCAGAGAGATTTAACTCACGCGAAAGTTTTTATCTTTATCAAACCTTTTTTTATTGTAATGCTTAAGATAAAGTAGAAAGGTGAAACTGCACTTACTTTCGCATTTTTATTCAACTGTTTTCAAAATCCTCCTCTATTCCATGATAAACAAATCAATGTCCGTGCGATTGCATTTCTCTGTCTCAATTTCAGGTGCGGAATCACCAAAAGCCCCAGTTCCCCTCGGCATGGAAAGCGGTGCTATTTTTGACTCACAGATCACCGCTTCTTCCGTGTATAATGATACCGTGCCGCACGGAATGCTAGATTACATTTCAAAGGATCCGAAAACCCGCTTAAACGTGCTGGCTGGGTACCTAAAGCGAAAAACACCAACCAATGGCTGCAAGTGGATCTTCAGCAAACCACAAGGGTAATAGGCATAGCGACGCAGGGGAGACATGATATCGGTCAGTGGGTTACTAAATACAAGCTACAATATGGCGATGATGGACTATCTTTCAGAGTTTACAAGCGAAACGGAGACATATCAGACACGGTATGAGAAAATATGCTTAATTGAACAAACCTTTTTGCGGAGAAAAAATCCCCATGAGGAATAGAACCTTTTTGTATTCTGCATTCTGATTCTCTTCCACTGAGCCATAAAGCAGTTACACTAGGCTGGGCCATATTCTCCCTGTCACTGAACCAACAGAGAAGTATTCACGAAAGTTATAGGTTAAGAGTAACTCGTATTGTAAAGAAAAAACAAGAAACTTACGCTCGTTAATTTTACGCCCAAATATATTCTACTCAGGTTTTCCCAGGAAACAAGGACAGAGACACAGTAGTTTACCACGATCTTAACCCGCTCATTTATGTTCGCTATGTTCGAGTTCTTCCGATGGAATGGAAAGGGACGATCGCTATGAGGATTGAGCTTTATTCTTGTTAAGGTAACCTACTGGTCCAAGTGTGTAGCAATGGCCGAGATTTTTTTGAAAAACGTATTCTGGGAGACGGAAGGTGTGCGTTGGGTAAAGGTAAGCTGTAATGGACTGACATTACATTTAACCCTTTAATTCCCAAGATCTTCATGCTAATTCTCCCGTCTAGCTGCTACACATTCCTTGCAAATCAGGTACAAGAATTAGATTTTAGATCAGGATAACAACTTTTACCTGATAAGTTTGAATATTCTCATCACCTGTTTGCAAGATATATGTATGGATATTTTAGGAAAAAGTTTCATTTTAGTCACTTATGGGAGTTAAAGGTTAAGAGCGCTAGCAGTGCTCAGAAACCAAAGCGAGCCCCGGTTTAAGGCCAGTTGCCCTTTGAGTTTTACACATGTTTGTAATATGTCATCGATAGAGCTCACGCACTTCACATAACATCCCCAACAGCTATATCTTTTTTACTAAAATACATTATTTGTTTTTGATAGTAAACCAAATTCTCTTTACTTGTTTAAAAGTGAAAGAGTCACAACTGAAGGGAAGAATTAACCTTTTCAGCGTTAGATTGCACTTGTAGTGTCACGTGACCTCTGATGTAAACAAACCGCGAAAAGTTGGACTTTAAGTCAACCACCCACGGCGCGAGTCCGAACTTCGGCTTCGGCATTTTGTCGTGAATAGTTTCCCTCTGTCGCGCCATGGAATAATAAAAAACATTCTTTGTACTGTGATGTATCTTCTCAGGTAATTTCAGGGCGTTGAGTGCGTTGATTGTTAAATGAAACCACGTCTGATAGGAGATTATTGCCCACGAATCGCTGTAGAACGTGATCAAGCCTGGATTCCCACACAGAATCTCGTTTCATATCGTATTGCGTGGAATGTTTTATGCACGCAAAGGGGAAATCCTGCTAAATCCAGTTCAATCTTCAAGAGTAGTTGTAGCTTTGAATAGCAGATCACAAAATTTGAGACGGGTTCAACGCTATGAATGGGGTAGAAACTGAAAATATCTGCAGAAACGGGGCATTTTAGTGAGCAGATATTTCACAACTTTTTGTGTGGAAATCGCCTCCGCAGTCGAAAAAAAGGGTTCTATTAGTGTGTCCAAATTTCGAAAAAGACGGTGCCACTACTTCAGGCAAATCAATAATTCATGATATGTTTATTCTCAATCTAGTTTTTTTGAAGACTGTGAACAATTTTAACGCTTCGCGGCCGTTTGGATTGTAGGATATTTCTAATCATTTGATTTACTACTCCACCGCGTCAGGCATGGACTCGCCGCTTATAAATCATTCGAAGATTATCGCCTATTCGATGATCGTTTGTTACGTATCGTAAGCATCAGAAGTCTCGTGACACTACACGTGAAATCTAACGCCGAAAAGGTGAATTATCAATCAGACCCTGGAAGGCAGAGGAATCGGGAAAAACGACCAGAAATTATCTTTTACATGCTTGTTAATGCTGTTTTTGTTTCCTTATTTTTCATAAAGAAGAACAGCTGTTTGCGAGAAACATCACTGCAATTCAATCCCTTCTATGGCTAATCCAAAATGATTTTTGTTTGTGGATTAGAAAGTGCAACAGCAGCTTGATTCGCTGACTAATTAATTATTGGTCGTTTTAGCTTAATAGTCGTTATAATTCGTAATGTGAGGGATATGCACTAATGGCAGCACATTAAGACGCACCTGTAAAAACGAACGAGCGAACGTGCTCTTTTGGAGACTCGTGTTCAATCAACCTCAGTGCCTAACGAGAACCGATTGTGAAAACAAACCAATCTCTCGTGAAAATGTATAATATCTCATACTCTCTTCACCACTTTAACAAAGCAATAAATATTGTATCGTAGGAAAGAGACACATGTGTGTTCATTAAGGAAAAAGTGACAAGAAACCTCTGACGAGTTTGCATGCCGTTAAAACGTGTTTAGCAGTTGTAACTGATCAAATTATTTAATAAAGTATGTACCCCTAATTAAATTTGTAAGTAAGCAAATGAACCTTGCGAGTAAATGTGACTCAAATAGTAAGATTTAACGCTCAGGAATTGTTGAGAAATAATTTCACAATAAAGGAAGTTGTTACAACCCTGAAGGTTTCGACTTTTTAATGCAAAAATGGCTATGGGAGATTTATGGAAACAAACCATCACGAAATCAGTGAAAGTCCTGGAATTTTTGCAATGGATGAATCTGATATTATAGTTTCTTCATTAATCAAATTGTAACACGTGTTTCTAGTAGGATTCGAACCTGAAAATTGTGACACGTTTTTCTAGTAGGATTCGAACCTGCAATTCTTCGTGTATAAGGCGGAAGTGATAACCACTCCACTACAGGAACGCGGCTTGTAAGCATGGCTTTGGCCGCCAAGAGCATCTCACTCATGGTGGAATATGACGTAGTCTTTGAAGGTCAAGAAAAAGCTCTGAAGGCCTTTGCGATATCGGTGCAATTTTGATTTTATTTCTAGTTACTTTTACATTCGCTGAGCCGAGTTACAATTTGGACTAACGTAAACTTTAACGTAATTTTGACAGTGCACGTATTGTATTATCGGAGAGTTCAATTTTAAATTTTGTCTCATTGCTGTTTATTGAATAAAGATTAAACTCACGCATACAATATTTGCAACTGCAGAAGACATGGCCACAAGCAAATGATGGCTTTGTATTGTTATTTTTCCTCGTGAAAAAACAATCATACCGACTGTTGCTGTTTCATGATTTTATATTCAAATTAGGTATAGACTGCGTCCTTGTTATATGAATTTCTTTTCGTCAATCAGGTATCAAAGTTCCTCTGTCGTTCATATCACAGATTCCTGTTGCTATTTTAAAACTTGAAATTTTAGGGAAATCAAGAACTTCTTTGACATTGCAAACCGTAGGATGCTAAGCTTACAGAATGAAAGATTTGTAGGTGAATCCTGATAGTCGGCTATTATGTAAGTTATAACGCTATGAGAGGAAAGAGTTTTCATTTGCGGCAACCCAATGAGATGTCGAGAGTTAAGAGAGATGAGCCACTTATTTTTGCAGGATATGACTGGGAGTAGAATCGCACTTATCCTCAACTCAAGTGTAATTGGCTATGTGTACGTAGTTTACAACAAAGAGTGTTTTATTTATGAGAATAAGTGTTGGTTACAAAGAGAGTTTTTCTTTTAAGACAATAAATGCTGAATAAATTATAAAGAAACTGCCAAATACCAGTTACCATTTCAACAACTACATTGATGCTTCTATAGGTCACAACAACAACATCTGAATGATAACAATTGATGAAGTGGACCTGAAATTTTAAGTGAGTATCAATTATTAACTTCACATCGGCAGTGAGGCTTCTAGAGTTGACCGAAGCATTTAAATGGCGGACAATAACTGATAAACTAGACTTGAATTTTAAAGGAAGACAAAATTCACAGTTTTGTTTTGTTTTTTTATTTTATCATTCCTTGAATAAGATGATATATTTCAGTGTTTATTCTGGTAGAAATGGCTTACGAAATTAACACTTCGCACGAACAAATATTTAATATAAAAGGCTTCACGCTCAAAACATTTCATTCGGCAAGCCTGATATCCTGTAGTTTACAATGTCAGAGAAACCCACGATGCATTTCAACAAATTTCAGAAAAATTTCCAAAACTGAGGGAACCTGTGAGTTAAACGACAGAGGAGTCTTCTCTCTTGAGGAAGGAAAAGAACTGAAATATGACGAAGAAGCTATTTACACTCAATTATACGAGAAGAAGGTGATAAAAATTTGTCTTATCTATTTTAATTATTGATCCTTGCAATGAAGTGGGCATCTTCAAAAAGAGTGTACATATCTGTTTACCTACCGGAACACATCTAAAAAAAAGGACGGAAAAGCTACGATCTTCGCTTTGTCACGAGAAGGAGAATAAGCTTACGGATGGATTCTCTGTTGGGCGGTAGTGGAATATTAGAACACGAAATCCTCCGACCTGAGATTTTATTTTATTCATGACATCTTTTTGGTAATGTTTATCTTTTCGACGTTAGAAGTAAAAAATTCAACATCTGTCTTAACTTAGTAATGTGTCTATCCATTGATCCTCGTCTAGTTATATTATGGTGCAATGTCGGGTTTTCATGATGGATGATTAGCGTCGTTACTGCGTATGTTGCCTTAAAAAATAAAATGGGCCTTTTTCCAAATTTTCAGTATCTTTGGAGAAATGATACTTGCAAAGTCCTCCGAAGCACAATAATGTTTAGAATTACAATTGTGTTGAGTCTTCTCAAATAATTTTGTGGACTGAAAGAGGGTAACATTAATTTGAGACAAAAAATTGTAGTTTTTAGCTTAGGTTAAAAATTTATAGATGAGTTTCTATTTGATGATAAACCAGGATGACTAATTGATTTCCTGATAAGAAAAAATGAATATTTTCATGTCTGAGCAGTGCAACTGTCAGGTTTTCAAGGAAGAATTTAAATTCGTCAGCTGCAAATGTAAGTAGGGCTGAGTACATAAAATATTCTTAAAATTAACGTCTAAGATCTTGCACTTACATCACTGAGGAGTTACTCGTCTCAGTCTCCTCTTGTCTTTGCGTCAAGAGGCTTCCTGTCAATACTTGCGGAGTCTTCTATCGTCATGACCCTCCCTGAACCATTTCTGGACCTTCATAGTCCTCGAATGTGGTTTAAAAAAATAAGATTACCCGGGAAAATACTGCGAGGTTTATTTCTGAAAAGAAAAAGAAAAGATGAAGAAAATAAGAAGCTCCCCAAGACGTGTAAGATTCGTATTTTCCCAAATAAAACTCATTCATAATTTCAAATGCAATCTGTGCTTACGCCAAAGCATTGCGAAACTTGAACGCGATAACCTTAAACATATCTAGGAATTTTACATGACAATCCCTATCCAAAAAAATCTGGATCCTCCTAACATTGGGTAAAATGCCAAATTTTAGTGTCATTTAAGTAAAATTAAACAACTATTAAACCCAAAGACAAATTTAAGCCATGTTTACTAAACTTAAACATGACTTAAAAATGTACCTTTGTTTAGGCGAGGTTTAAGCATTCTTAAATGCAAATTAAATCGACATTGAGATTTAAGCTATGTTTAAGTCATTTTAACCGTACTTAAATCCTTTGAAGGATTTAGGGTTACTTTAAATCACCTTAAATCTAACGTTAAACCTATTGGGGAGATTTAAGGTCTAGTTAAAGGAGCCTTAAATACAACATTAAATTTATCATAATATTTATGCCGTGTTTAAGGACCTTAAAAACACATCAAATCTTTTGGTGTACACCAAGCCTACTTTATTGACATAATCTCTCACCAGAACCAGAAACCATACGAGAGCAGCCTCCAGCAACCTTCAATGAATTAATCATAGATTAATATTAATATTATGTATTTAGTAAAGCCACAATATTTCACGCTACTGATTTTATTGCTTTTTCAATTCTTTGGGTAATGAAACTGTGTTTGTTGATTGTGAACAAGAGACTTGATTTCTTGCGTTGGAAACTGTTTCACTAAAGGAAGGTGGTTGCACAGGGAATTTGACTAACCTGAGCAAATAAGGTACATTTCTTCAAAACCATATAATTTTAGTAGATACCAAACCAGTGGACAGTGTTTTTTGCATGCTCTGATTGGCTACTCAAACTCAGGATAGTACATGCATGTGCTATCCACTTCCCAGCTTAAGCTGAAGTGTGAAAAACTTTTTTTTGCAGTGTTCTGAGATATAAATTTATAATTCTTTTATCTCACTGGTTTGGTATATACTTCACAGCTCATTAAATATCCACCACCACTAAGCGGAATAATATTTATTGTTAAATATATTAAAAACAACAACGACATGTGAATGTAGATTGATGTTAATAACTGGCTGGTAAAATAATGGCACGGCGTGGAATAGGGCAAACTGCCATGAGTTTTACATTGTCAAGAGTTAAATAAGCTCCAGCAAAAAGACTGTGTATCCTATAAACAGGCAAAAAGTAGCTTGATGCTCTAGGTTCAAAGTTATTTGCGTCCCACACACAAAGGGTATTAAAACTTCCCAAGCATTGGTTTTGCTGAACAAGGAAACCGGGGTTTCTGAGCATGAAGTGAACAGCTCTGAACTGCAAACGTCACCAGACATCTCTAACTGAACGTTGAAAAGCGCGCGTTTGTATCGAGGACGCGGTATGTCTCGTCCCCAGAGTGAGGCCGAGATCCTTATGCGCATGACAAATACCGTATGAACGCCAATCAAATGTCCAAAACTATAATCGCGGGAAATTTGATCTTTCACTGTCGTTCGTTCACTCGGTCGAGTTTCGTTTCGTTGTGGGCACGTGTTTGGATTCTTCCTCGATAGGATGATGGCTGCAAACGATCCAGTTCAAGAGAGACAGCTTGTTCTTATGGAAAGAATGAGTAGAAGGATCGATTCGATTCTCGAAGGGCAAAAGAAACTAGAAGATACGAATGCAGTCCTTCAGCAAGAAAATGCAAAGCTGAAGAACCAACTTGCGAGTCTGGAAGGGCAGGCAAAGAAGAAAGGCAACAAACGTTCTAAAAGCTCTCGCAGAGAATCAAATGTTGTGATTCCAAATGACTTAAGGGTAAATATTCTTTAATTACTTTAAGGATATAAATTTTTTCAACTTTAGTACCGTTAAGTTGTGTTTCAGAGTTTCAGTTGCGGTGTATCAGAAGCATAAAACGTGTCTTCAAAGACACCGCCATTCCGCCATCACGCGTGTTCTGTGTTAACTTAAAGCACAATATGTGTAGATGTTGGTTCTAGTGCTTATCACAAAGTTGGAACATCCTTGTGCTGAATTCTTGTGCCTATTTTGCAAGCATTTAGCAAAAATACTGTTTACCCAGTTTAAAATTTCACTGTGTACTGTTTACCCAAAAACCCTGCTGACCCTGATTAAAGAAATAAACAAGTTTGTGGTTTGAATTGACTTTTGACATATGATGTTCTTCCATATTATCTTCCAGAAACGGTTTCGGTTCATCTACAAAAAGATGGTAGAAAAAAAAGTGACACAAGGTTTCATCATTGATGAAGAATATGTTATTTTTTTACCATACATAAGATGATGTGTTTAAATAGCAAGGCACTAAGAGAGATGGCATGCAAGATATTAGAATTAAAACTTTACCACCAAGAGCTAAATCTCTCTCTGACCAGCTTCTTCTAAGGGACTGTTAGTTATCTGTTTTGAGGCCAGTGTTTAGAGTCTGGGGCCAGTGTAAAATATTCAAATTGGGAGTAGGAGGTGGTAAACTTTTTAGAATCTGTTATTTCAACTATTATGTTGCTGATAGATTAATACATGCAAATTTTTGTTTTGAGAAATCTTTTCCCTTCAAGAACCAGAAATCCTAATGTCAGTTTGAAGGTGTAAAAAGCATGTAGCTTCTGCACTGTACCAGCAGTGATTAGAAAATTGTCCATCTTGTATAACTGCTTTACTTGAATTATTATTTCCTTTTTTGGCTGAATAATAATAATAATATTATTATAACTGCCTCTGGCTATTGTTTAAAACAAAAATAATATTCTCATTTTTATTACAGTCCACAGTCAGAGAGAAACCAGAGTATTTTTACAAAAGTGAAAGAAGTACTGAAAAAAGAGCATGGAGGAGAAAGCTGCCTATGGACTGACTTACAAATGGAAGGTATTACATTACAGGAATCAAGTTTTAATGTTGTGTGCAAGTTAGAACAAGAAGCATTTACCTTGTGCAAAATCAAACAAATTTTCTGAAATATGTTGGACAAAAAACTTAACAACTGAAAGGGAAAACACAATATTACCAGCATTAATTCTTTTAATTAATATATATCCATAAGCTGATGTTACATATACACATAGACTTGTCATTGTATTGTAATTTTAGGATATCATGCAGTGATAATAATTATTGTTTTTAACTCAACAGCTCAGTTTTATCGGTACTTCAAAACAACTAAAGAAAGAGAGCAGAGGATAAGAAAAGGGAAAAATGAAGAGCATAAAGAAAAGTGCAAAAGGAGCAGGTGTTTACTAAATGTAAGGACTAGCTAAGTTGTCTTGCTTTTGCCATGCTAAACCTATATTCAAGAATAAATTTTCAAGATAGTGTGGCTGAAGCATGGCTTCTGAATCAAACATTTCAATTCAGTTTGACAACAAGTGTTGTTTAATACTGTGGCAAATTTGTGCATGGCATTGTACCAACATAATAATAGTTTGAAAACACAATACAATGTGGGATAATATACAGCAACAAAAAATGAAACAATGCCATGCACAAATTTGTCATACACTGTAAGTTGGATTGGTATGTTTACAACTGGTGTACAAATACACATTAATTAGGAAAGTCAACCTTGCTGGTAGTTAACCAAATAATATGGGTTTGCTTTAATTTAGTACTGTTTTGTAGCATGAATTTTTTTCTGGGAGTTCTATTTATTGCTGATTGTTATTTTCATATTTTATATCTTTTGTGGGATATCATTTTGAGTTAGAAAAGTATTTCTATTTGACAATAAATTATATGTTTCATAGATATAATTTGGTCTGGTTATTAACTAAATAATGACTGAATTGTTGCTTTTTGTTCCATTAGAAACTGGAAAGGCGTCAGTCATCCTATGAGATGCTACAAGCTTCTATGACACCAAAAGAAAAACAGTATTATAGTGAAATCCTTTACATTGATTATATGAGTAGCGAAGAAACAGATTATGAGGAGCAAGAAGATTTCATTACTGGTGAAAAAGAAAAGAAACTGGCAAGATATGTAACCAAGAAGCTATCATGGGAAAGAACAAGCTTGACAAATGCAAAAGCCAGGCTAGACAGAACCTACAAAAATAATTTGACCCCCCATGCCAGGGCAATGGCTAAGCCAAGGAGTGTTGGTGGCATGTCGGAGAGGCCTGCACCTGCTGGCCCACTTTGGGCTGTCAGGCAGATAAACAAAGAGTCGTGATTGAAAAAATACTTAACACTTTTTCTACTTTTTATTCATTTATTTATCATGTATTTAATGGCAAACTGAAGTAATTGTTTTGTTAGAACAAATTATTGTCATCTAGATCACAGGGATAGTTTCTTCCAAGTATTGTTAAATTTATTGACTTATGATGGGGAAAATTTGTTCCTGTCAAGCATAAATTAGCTAGGTATGTGTGATATTTTAACCCTTTAACTCCCAAGATCTGATTGGTAACTATCCTCTCTAGCTGCTACATATTTCCCTGTAACTTAGTTTTGAGAATCTGGTGTGATATCAAGACAAAGACCTATACCTGATAAGTTTGAGAATTCTCATTATCTCTTTGCTGGATAAGTTCAAGATATTTTAGGGAGAAGTTACTTGTTAATCACTCCTGGGAGTTAAAGGGTTAATTACAAATAGGCAGTAGCTTTAAGAATGTGTACCAGTGAATTTAAAATAAAAGAAACTTGAAACATATATTGTTTAGTGTGATATGTGACCTGGTGGGTGGCAGTTTAGTAATGAAACAACAAAACAATAATATTTCACTGATTTCACAAATTTGATTCAAAACTAAAATAAGCAACAAATTTTGAGCAGATTAATTTGCATTAAATGGTACTTTGACAACATTAAATGTTTGAGCTCTGTTTACTTCAATTAAACAGTACTTAAACATACAGGAATGTTTTGGACACATTTAATGTGCACTTAAACCTGCATTAAGTTTTAGCCTTAAGATAGTATAAGCCAGGTTTAAGTCCAACTTAAATCTAGGTATAAGTGACTTAAACATCAACTTAAACTTATTAAACCTGAGTTTAAGACAGGATTAATCCATGTTTAATGACACCTAAATATATCTTTTCTCCATGTGTAAGGTGCCGCAGTATAATTATCGTCCTGGGTATGAGACGACCTCGACCATCACTCGA